CAGTAAAAACAGTTAACGTTTGTAACCCATACTGAAATTTTGTATGTTTTGATTTATTTTACTTTACAATTGGAGCTCCTTTTTAAAAAAAAAAGGTTTAAACACTGGAGCTCAATGCTTGACTAATTGGTCGAAGCAATCCGCCAACGGGGTTAGACAGACATCTAGTGGTCAACTGGAGCAACTACATGAAAAACTTTAAAATCCAAGCTCTTATTTTGAAGGGAAGATAATTTCCTGTAATCCGTGCTTTCGTTTCCCGTCACAAATCAAATCCGTCATGTACTCAGAATGCATCGCTTCATTTTCCAATAAACAGTTTTAAAATGACTTTATTGATGCTTCTTTAATGAAAAATCTACAACAAACAAAAGAAAAGGACAAAGAAGCAGCCGAACTAACAATCCTCAACAACTTTTTAATTTTTACACCAGGAGCCAAAGGTCTGTTTCAGGAAATAACATCTCCAGCAATCAGTGGTTGTAGGATTAAGCTGTACAAGGGTTCATACACTGCTAGTTGGCAGTGTTGTGCATATATTGTTCATGAATTATTGCCAGCTAGGAAGTGTCAAATTGAACTTGAGCTTTAAAATTAGCTTCCACTTGTTTTTCTATGGCATAAGCACTTTTGAAGTTGCGGACCTAAATATTTTTATAAGCGCTTTAGAAATTGCGGAGCTAATTTTTGGATTAACGCTGCCCACCACTGCAAATAAGTATAATTCATTGCAATCAGAATCCATCTATTCGTTCATTTTCTTTACTTACTTGTTCTTGTTCAGGGTCACAGAGCAGCTAGTACCTGTCGACTCCAGTGGCTCCTCCAGGAACTTTTGAATCCGGTGACCATGTGGGGGCCACTGAAAATCCTGGGGTGGCCCAGACAAAAATGAAAACCCAGAACAAAATTTATGTAAATTCTGTTGTTGTAAAAGGACAGTTTGAAACTTTGTCATTTGGAGAGTCAGGGAACTGCCAACAAATGTAACTCAKTTTCTTATTTTACGGATAATTTTACTTATTATGTGATGTGAACGGTCCGACGAATGTGGTCTGTATCTTTACATACACGTAACGCCATAAATTGTCCTCACCTTAGGCTTTTAGTCCTGTTTCCTAAAAATCTATTGTACATCCATATCCTGAGGTAGAAAAAAATGTTGAGTAGGTCTCCTGGACAGGTTCTTCTTTGTTGAATAACATTTTATCTCTTCTCCAAGAGACTTCTTCATTCTGAGGAGTTACATGGTAGACACACAAATTGAACAATGACAATCCAAACTGTGCTTTCACATGCAAAATGACCATCAGCCTAACAACTGTTCCTTGGGGCCCTGATTCTCCCCTATTGTTAGCACTGAGTCATACTAGCAACAACAGGGGTGTAGGCCTCCATGTCCAGTTGTCCCCCTCTTACAAAGCTGTTATTGTGAATATGACTTAGCCCCCTGTGAACAACAGGTGAGRATCAGGGCCCTAAGGATCAATCGTTAGGCTGATGGTCCTCTTTTGCATGTGAACAAACAGTTTTGATTGACATTGTTAAACTTGTCTGTCCACCATGTCATTGAGGTCATTGTTTTGACATCGGTTGTTCTTATTCAGGCGGACTAGATTTTAATGGTAACCATCACAGGGACACTAGTCACATTAGAGATGTTACAGTATTTGTTGTGATAATAAAAGTTTTTTTTGGAAACACATTTGTTTTTAAAAGTGTTCTCAAAAACTCTCATTTAAATAGCCATATAGGGCCTCAAGTGTTTTGATATTAGTTTCAGTGAAGACATCTAAAAACCTGAAGCTTATTGATTCTTTTAGACTTGTTTTCAACTTCAAGAGATTTTAATTGATATAATTCAGTGATCAAAGTTTTGTTTGTTTGTTTGTTCTTTTTCAGGTTCATGACGGCACTGCTGGACTTTCTCAGTCGGGTTTTCTTGGCAGCAGTCAGCATCAGCAGCTTAGACCAGTGGTTCCCAAAGTTGGGGTCGGCACCCAAAGTGGGGTCTCGAAACATCAAGGTGGGGTCCTGAAAACATTTTCTGAATTAATTACATTTTTACCTTATTTGTTACAAAGGAGTGAGGTTAGTGTATTTAAAATGGATAAATGTAGTATAAAAAATATTGTTACTATGCCCATGTTTAGTTGACCTGATACAAATGTTTATCATCCAAAAATAGTTGGGGGCACAGGTCTCTGCTACTGTTATTTTGTGGGTCAAAAGCTGAAAAGTTTGGGAACCACTGCACTTTGGTTCCCAAAGTTGGGCTTGGGACCCAATTATGGGTCATGAAGCACCTTGGATAATCTCCATAAATCAATTTAAAGGGTAATAAAATAATTGCTGATGTAATATTTTCCCTATAATTATTACAGAAACACAAAATAAGGATAAATAAGTATTTATATTTGTATACATGCTGTTTAGATTGTCAAAAATCCTGTGTTTTTRGGGTTATTAACGAAGTTCATGTACTCAGACCAGTAATATTTGGGGTCACAAGTTTTTGCCATGGATGTTTTGTGGGTCAGAAGATAAAAAGTTTGAAAACCACTGGCTTAGACCAGCTTGTGGTAAGATAAGACGGTTTTAATCTTGTTTTGGCTGTTTTACGCTTCACGTTTCTGCTTTGGATTTAGAAAGCTCCTCAGCAGTAACACATTGGAACACTTCCACAAATCTGTCTGCAAACAGTTCACCGTGCCGTCAACAAATGCTGCGTAAAGCTCCATTATGCAAAGAAATACTCATCATCCAGAAGTGCTGCTGTCTTCTCTGGACCAGAGCTCATTTAAAATTGACTGAGGCACAGTGGAAAACTGTTCTGTTGTCAGATGAGTTCAAATCTGAAATTTATTTTGGAGACAACAAACATCACATTGTCCATATTAAAGAGGAGAGGGACCATCTATCGGCACACTTAAAAAAGGCTGGCTACCTGATGGTATTGGGGTGCATATACAAATGCTCAGTTTTAACATACTAACCAATAAATATTCATCTCCTAAAAGGTAATCGTGATTAATTGTATCAGTTTTTATGTAAAAATGTTTGAATATTTAAAGATTGATTTTAACCTGGTAACTCTTTGGATATTCTTCTAATTCTAAAAAGTAAGTGTATTCCATAATTTAACCCCACAAATACACACATGTTTTTAACTTAACCCAAACCAGCAACTAAAAATATAATCCTCCTGTCAGAAAACATTTTGAACAAGTATGAAATTCTTGAGATTTGAGTTATTTTTTTTGTTTGTTTTTTTGTTTTGATGACAGAAATGTGCTTTGGTTTTGGCTCCAACTCTGACACCACCTCAGTTTGACATCGGATCTTAAGAAGGTTCTAAGTAGAGCTTGACAATGTTAAAAGAAGAAATCAGTGCAAGAGACAAGAAC